CGGCGGGGGGGGTGTCATACATCGAGAATTCAATACAGCTTGTCTCTCCCCTCCAGCCCAATTTTTCAGTAAAAATGCGCTATCTCCCTTAGTTTGGGAGATATTTTTGAAAAAATCACCGACTCAATTTTTTTGGTTGTGAATTCTCAATACACAACCCCCCTCCCCGCCTCTTCTTTATAAAATCCCCCCTCGTCACACGTGAAATTCCCGATATTTGAGCACCCCTCCCTATATATGGGGCACTTACGTCCGTTAAATACCTCGGCCACAATTTTTTAGTTCAATCTGAAAATTTTCTAAAATTAAGAAAAATTCAGTATTGGTTTTAGGAAATATTGGTTCTTAAAAACAATCCTCAAATTAGTTAGTTTTTATGATCCCACCAAGGATAAAGCTTAAGGACAGGAGTTTCTAAAATCTAGAAACTAGTTTCTAAAGCTAATTCACTTTTTTCTCTGGGGTGATGAAATAGTACATTTCGATACTAGGGCGCATGGAAATGTACTATTTCATTACCACAGAGAAAAAAGTGAATTAGCTTTAGAAACTAGTTTCTAGATTTTAGAAACTCCTGTTCTAAAAAAACGAAACGAAGCGAAGCGTGCCCAAAAAGTAACTTTTCCACACAGCGTGATGAAAATGCAATTTTAGACCTCGTCTAAAGAAAGTTTTTCTTCAATTGTTCGCTAATGAACAGATGGAATTGAATCTTTTTTTTTTTCAAATGTAGATATTATTGAGCCCTATTAATCGCCATTAATCAAAATTTAATTCATGGATTATTTTTTTTTAATTTCGAATTTTTTCAAAAATCGGTTGTCCCACGATAACTAAAAAAATCTTCTGCATTGATTGAATGATGGCTTAAGGGTATTATGGCGGGGTCCATAGCTGGAAAAAAAAAGCAGAGAATTCAATGAAAATTGCTGAACAGATTATTCGATCCATTTGAAAACCGTGTGCAAAATGTCAAGACCCCTACTTAAACAATAATAATGGGAATAATTTTTGAAGTTGCTACGTATACACGCGATTGAATGAGGCATCGGTAATTTTAGTGCTTTTCCTACGTTATCGATAGATCAATAACGTAGGCAATTGACAAAAATTACCGATGCCCCATTCAACTGCGTGTATAAGTAGCAACTTCAAAAATTATTCGCATTATTATTGTTTAAGTAGGGGTCTTAACATTTTGTACACGGCTTTCAAATGAATCGAATAATCTGTTCAGCAATTTTCATTGAATTCTCTGCTTTTTTTTCCAGCTATGGACCCCGCCATAATACCCTTATAAGAATCATTCGTTTGGATATCCTTTTGACCGAGTTCGAAGATGACGATGATTTTGCAGTTTAGGTGAAGCAGAGCGGAACGTCTGTCATCGACTTGAAATATAAATATCTTTGTTTATGAATTATCACGATTGATTGAAATGAATCGCAAACGTTCCGCGGTATCCGACTCAATCTTAGAAAAAAAATTGAATTTGATGAAAAAGGTGGATTTCTTCAGAGCCACTAAAAAAGTCCAAGATTGTACAATTGCGTTCAGCTACTAGGAAATTCACCTCAATTGTGACCAAAAGAAGTAGGATTTTCTCAAAGATTTATGACCACGTGTACAATAAAATACAACCTTTACTTACACTTTTACTCTACCGCAAAACCGATCAGATGAATTGATTTATTCGATTAGAATGAAATTGAAAGGAAGGAAGGTTTCATATTCCATGTGGCCGATGTGTAATCCATATGTATGACTGTAATCAATATAATCTTTTGCGAAATCAAGCGCATGGGAATCGAAGTCTCTGTCGCCTTCAGAGGAGGGATGGATGAATATTATCAACACTTGAAATACTGAACGAAGAAATAGAGTTCTAGAAAAATTTCCAAGCTCATCAGAAATTTTTCAGGGCAGCATCAAAATTGTTGTTGCGTTTCTACGAAATTATTCTTAACGCACATTAATTTCCCCCATATAAAATATATGAATGAAGATATGAATGATATATGAAATATACACGGAGAGAAATATTCAAGAAAAATTACGGAACATTTCACGTAATCTGCAAGCGAGAATCGTTTTCAGTGAATTTCTATAGGAATATAAGAGAATAAATCTGAAACGTTCAGTAAATTTTCGGGTCTGTCACCGAAAAAATACGAAAAAGTCACGTAATTTTTCTAGAAGTTGTAAAATCTAACAGAAACGTCAAGACTTATTATGCCTCAGAACATGAAAATTCTTGGATGTTTAAGAATTTTTACGAAACGTTCCAGAAAAATTACGGAACGTGTTGTTAAAATCTCCCCCTCACGGTGACTCATGGCTAGCCGTGAGGCGTCGGACGGATGAGTAATTTTTACGGAACAGATCGTAGAATTTACGTGACGATTGACACTTTTTATTGAATTTTACTTCGCTCCCAGATTACGTTTCGAAACGCAATTTTTACGTCTTTTTTCTGGTAATTTTTATTGAATATTTCTCTCCGTGTATATTTTATGTCATACGAATATAGATGTATGGGAAACCCATTCAACAAGTATCTGAGTCATACACTGTTGGAAAACGTGAAACAATTTAGTTACTATTAACGAGGTTTCTTACCTATTAATGCCATTCATTAACTATTTCAATTATTAACCATTCGTGTTAATAGTTAACTAAATCGGTCTACGAAAAAGGACGTCTTCTGATTCTAGTTTCCGAGATATTCACGTTGTCGCTCCAATCCAATTGAATTGCGTGAGAAAAATAGAAAAAAAAAACATCCTCGATTGATACGATTCAAATTCTACTTTGTAAGATCAAAATTTTTTTTGGTGATACCTGCTTGAAAAGTTCACTATTCGAATCCGTTCAGTGTGCGTAAAGTGCTTGTTTTATGCACGGCGTGCGTAAAGTTCAGAGGTCGTGCGTAAAGTGAATTTCGAGTGCGTAAAGCGAAGCTTGAACTTTATGTACTTTGTGCACAAAAACAACCATTTTACCCCCCCACTACCGTTCCGAACAGTGAATTTTGAAGGTCCTATTGTAAAAAGGAGAAAGGAAATCGATCTCGAAATATCTCGAAAATCTCGAATAAGCGTAAGTGTAAGATTGGAACCGAAGCGCCACTATGTGAGGAAATGAGAAGGCGCGTGCGCAGTACGCGCGGCCGATCTCCCTATCGTAAAAAGGAGAAAACAAATCGATCTCGATATATCTCGAAAACCTCGAATAAGCGTAAGCGTAAGACTGAAACCGCAGCGCCACTACGTGAGAAGATGAGAAGGCGCGTGCGCAGCACGTGCGGCCGAACTTCCTATCGTAAAAAGGAGAAAAGAAATCGATCTCGATATATCTCGAAAATCTTGAATAAGCATAAGCGTAAGACTGAAACTGAAGCTCCACTACGTGAGGAGATGAAAAGGCACATGCGTAGCACGCGCGGCTGATTTCGTCACAAAAAATAGCATGTGTTACGCGTGCGTGCGAAAAAGTGGTTCTTTCCGCACTTGTAACACAATATACTATTTTTTAACAATTTCTCTCTACATTATAAAAATTCAAATCCACTTCGGGTGATGAAAATTTAGTATTCGAAATTAAGACTCCAAAAGTAAGGGTCAGAAATGAGGGGTTAGTAATTAAGCGTTACACGGGTCAAAATAAGGGTCACGAGGATTATAATGAGGGTCAGAATAAGAGTCACAAGGGTCACATGAGTCGTTTCATGCGGATGTCCACACATTCAATATATATATTTCCTCTCACATTTCCCTTTTTAGGTCACACATGTCTTGCGTGGGAGTTTTTTAAGCATGAGAAATTTTAGTTCATCAGTACCAGAATTTCTTTTCTTATAATGACAACACAAAAATTTTACTAGGATTGTTCTTCTAAATAAATAAAGCGTTCCACATTATTGACATTAAAGAAGAAGGGAATTTATATAGCGTTCCACGTCTTTGTGACGTCATAGGAAATGAGTGGATGGGATTTGGATGAGGTAGAAGGGGAACCGGAATTATTCTCAATATGAATAACCAGACAATTTTTTTACTGAAAAAATTGATAGTCCAGGGGAGCGATTTTGCGCGTTTTTCTCCAACTAAAAAATATTATTTTTCTCCCGGTTGGAGGCGCTTCCGCGCTTCTGAACTGCAAAATGATCCGTGGAGGGGGATGATAATCGCATGAATGGTAGACTAAAATGGCGGGAATTTAAATTTAGCCATTCATGTGATCGTTATCGCCCTCCACGGGTCATTTTGCGGTTCAGAAGCGCCTCGGAACGGGAGAAAAATGATAAGTTTTCGTTGGAGAAAAACGCGCAAAATCACTCCCCAGACCTGGATTTGCACCCGGGACCTTCCGATTATGCATCGAGTGCTCTCCAACTGAGCTATCCGGCTCCGAGTCATTTTTTCATTTCAAATTTCTGGTACATATTGAGCTCCGCTGTCCTTCTTACGGTATTCATTTTTTACATTAACCCTCGATCGGTCGCGTCATGGCACGAGCGCCGTTCTGTCTCGATTTTTACTTTTTACGCTGAAACGTTGTTGAGAAAAAGTCTGAAAAAATTGGAATTCCTACGTTCCACCATGTCAAACATTTAAACAATTTTTGCTCTGTGCATCTTTGCACTGATCAAAAATTAAAATTCCTTAAAAATTCGACTCGGTCAAAATCTCTGTTTAACCTCTAAATGTCAAATTTTCGCAACGAATGGAAATCAATTTTTGAATAATGTTTTCAATTTGTCGTTATATACTGATATTAGTTGTTAGTTGGGAGTTCAAAGTTACTCGTTTAATCATAAATACATCATTTTTTTGAACTTTTTTTTTTCTCAAAATGGTAAAATACACGGAACGGTGCAGCGCTCATCACGCGACCAGTACTTTTGGTGGAGAGGTGCGACCACTCGAGGGTTAAAGAAGGGAATTTATACAGCGTTCCATATCTTCGTGAGGTCATAGGAAATGAATGAAAATGATTACCTTACTTATGACCATGACCAATTCAAGATCAGCAAAACGTCTTCCAAGACACATTCGTCTTCCATATCCAAATGGTAGCGAAGCAAATGCATGTCGCGACTCACTTTCGCGGAGCCATCGTTCTGGAAGGAATTCATTGCTACGCGGAAAGTATTTATCTTGATTGCTGATTACGTAGTGTTGGAATACAACTTGCACCTGTCAATGGAGCACAACAATTATTCATTGCAATTCAAAACAATGGGAGTAATTGCGGGCTATTAAATTAATCGAGAGATTATGTACTCACGCCTTTAGGAATGTGGTAGCCTTTTATGATTGTGTCTTTCGACATGCAGCGACCATTGCCAATTACTACGGGGTACATTCTGAAGCAGATGGAGGAAAAATGAATAATTATTCGTCAATTTTCAGGGTTGAGAAGGAATGAGGTTAACCCTTTACGGGGCACTACCCCACTGCAACTTCTCTTAATTATCTCTCTATATTATAAAAATGCAAATCGACTTTTGGTAATAAAAATTTGATACTCAAAATTAAGACTCAAAAATTAAGGGTCAGAATAACTGTCAAGAAGGTCAGATTAAGGGTCAACAGGGTCAGATTAAGGGTTTCAAGCGTCAGAATAAGGGTCATGGAAGTCATATGGGACTCTCTCTATAAAATCTCTTAAAATCGAAATCGACTTCTGGTGATGAAAATTTGGTATTAAGATTCCAAAAGTAAGTGGCAGAAACTAAGGGTTACGAGGATCAAATTAAGGGTCAAAAGGGTTAGATTAAAGGTTACAAGGGTCAGAATAAAGGTCATGAGGGTCACATGGGGCTCTCTCTATATTCTTAAAATTGTAATCGACTTCTGGTGATGGAAATTTGGTACTCGAAATTAAGACTCTAAAACTAAGGGTCATAAGGGTTAGAATAAGGGTTACGAGGGTCAAATTAAAGGTCAAAAGGGTTAGATTAAGGGTTACAAGGGTCAGAATAAGGGTCATGGGAGTGATGTGGGGCTCTCTCTATGTTAACGCAATCCAAATCGACTTCTGGTGATGAAAATTTGGTACTCGAAATTAAGACTCCAAAATGAAGGGTCAAAAACCAAGGATCAGAAATAAAGGGTCAAAAACCAAGAGTACTAAGAGTATTAGAGAGGAGAAAATCAGTAACATTTGCTTGAAAAATAGTGACGATGTTACTGAAAATTAATGATGTCACTAAAAGATCATGACAAAGGCACTGAATCTCAGAATTTTGCACTCGTTGAATTTCTCAATCCTGAGTCCCTAATAATTGAGGATAGATTCCTGAAAATCAATGTTTCCATCAATCTGCTAGTTGCGAGAATGATATTGATATTGACAAAACAATGAAAGTTATATTAAACGTTAAATAGAATGTTTCTGTTACCTTAATGTTTCTCTTATGCATGCCTTCACGTACTTCAAATCCTCCAGGTGTTTGCGATTAATTTGCATATCCCCTTCTGGCAGAATACGCACCACCTCATCATACAGAATCGCCTGTTGATCGGGATGTCGAGCTAACTGATACAGCACTGATCCCACAGCCGTGGCAGTCTAAAAATGAATAGCAATGAACACATTTTCTTAATTACAATGACTTCCAAAACTTCTTTAGGCATTCAAATACTGACAGTGTCAACGCCAACTAGGAAAAGATCCAATGCGAGAACCGCCGCTAACTTATGCCCGTTGTCACCGTCAATTTCTAAAACTCGTTCCAAAAGTGACAACTCTTCAGGTCCTTTCTTATAATTTTTGGATTTGTCGAGAGCTAGTTTTGTGTATTTCGTTGAAAAGCTGGGAAATAATAACATGAGAAATATAGAAGACAAAGTGAGGAAAATAGAAAAAAAATAGGTAGCACGTCTCGAAAATTTATATTGGCAAAGATTACTGCAGAATTATACTTTTATTTTTTGAGAGATATAGTAAAAAGCTATCCACATTTTTTCATTTTTTACAAAAATAACTCTACAATTTTCTACTTTTTTTGATAAACAATACAATGTTCAATTTCATTCTGTACGTGAAAATCAATCCGCACGATAGCAGCCGACACCTTCCAGTTTAGCCGCTCGGGATATACTGACTACAAGTTGGGTTTTATAAAATAATTCCAGTCAAAATATAAACAAAGATTTACCGCTCGGGCAGCCACGATTGTGATTGTGAAATTTGTCACATCAGTAACGGGCCGGTAAATACAATTCATCGGATGAATATGAAAATATTATCAAAAGTTTTGTTCATGCCGAGTTATTTTTGTAAAAGTTTTTTTTTACAGTTATTGTGTCGCAAAGTTATTTAGACGGAAGTTTTTTTGTCGCAAAGTTATTTTTGAAAAAGTTTCTGAGTCCGAGTTATTTTGTCGGAGTTATTTTTGCATAAGTTTTCGAGACATGTAGCCAAAAAACTAGATTGAAGAGGTAAAAACGAATATGCCATGGTTATGAAATGATTTTATAACAGAAAATCAAGAAATTTTCTGCGTAAAATTTATTACAAAACTTCCTTGCACTGATAGAATCATTCATTTACTGTGCGGAGAGAAAAATTGGATAAAAATTAGCTAGAAAATCGTGGCAAATTTTACTGTACGAAAGATTTTCGTGGAGCAAAATGTAATTTAATGAAAAAATACTTGTTTGTGGAGGGTATTATACGATTCGTTCGGTAAAAAATCATTCTCCGTTACAGAAAAATTATACACAATATTGACCATATCATTCATGTTCACTGCGATAATTTTTGATGGAATGCAGAGTAAATTTTACTGTTTCGACACAAATTACTCTCATGTTCAATCAATTTTCCCGGGCCAGCGGAGAAAATTCACAAAATCACGGGGATCAAAATTGAAAGTTGCAGGGGGTCGTCTTTATCGTACCGATGACTTTAGTATTTATTTTTTATACTCAAAAGAGGAGAAAAAATCGAGTTTCAATTTTTTCCAAGGACTGATTAGATTGGTCACTATATGAGGGAAACACTGCAATACGTCGTTTGTCATTAATTACCATTGACTGCATAATCGTTGAAAATTCAAAAAAAATTGACTCTTTCAGTTGAAGTATATAACACATTATAGCGGTGTCAGAACAACGTAATTGCCAAAATTGAAAAAAAATTAATTTCCAACAGAATAATGTTTTTCCCATGTTTGTCACGCAATGTTGCCGGAAACTCGCTAAATGCACCCGGCCAGTGTAGAGTAAATTTGGCAACGTTAAAGCCTAAATAACATTGCGGCACATTCCCGCGGAGGAAACCAAGTCGCCGCAGGATCACGTAGGGTCCCTTTACGAGGATTTTTTATGAATTGATTTGAATTTTAGATTCGACATACATAGGGATACAAAATGACAATAATTTTTGACATGCGTCAAGTCAGGCGTAAATTCATAGTTTTTTGATCATTTCTGGCTTGACGCATACCTCGTGATGGAAACTGACCGAACAACTTCCCCAACTGTCAGTAATTTTTTCTCGTCATTTATCCTGAAAAATAATCTATCTAGATGTAAAATGACCGTCAGGATTTTCTTTGATCATTTTTGTGCCGCGAAATTCCGTCACTTGCTTTCTGACTAAAAATAGATAATTTACCATTCATTTGATTCAAATGACTAATAATTATATATTAATAACTTCGTTCTTCACATATGAAAAAATTCAATAGAAAACCTGGTGAATTCACTAGAAAAGTCTATTGGAATTCTATAGGAATTCTACTGAAAAATTCTATTTGTCTTTTGCGCTGTTCTATTAGATATTCGATAAGAAAGAGTCAATAGATTTCGAACTTCTGTTCGAATTTATCTCTTGAGATCTTTTCTATTAGAAATTATTGGGCACAATTTTCCAAGTTTTTTCTGCTGGATTTTGTTTTGTTTTGCTCTACAGAATGCGAGTGGGAAAAACTTAGAAAATTGATGCCCAAGCATTCTTAAAAAAAGTTTTCAAGAGAAAATTTCGAACAAAGATTCGAAATCTATTGACTTTTTCTTATCGAATATCCAATAGGATTAGCGCAGAAAAGTAAGGGAATTTTCCAATAGAATTCTAGTAGAAATCTTATAAAAATCGCATAGAATTCCTGTAGAATTCCACTAGAATTTTCTGGCGAATTCGCTTGGGTTTCTATTGAGTTTTTTCATGTGTGGTATCATTAACCAAATAATGACTGTATTTTTAACTAATAAAGTATTTACTTGAGTCAATAAAACATTCATGTTTAGTAAAAAAAATATACTTTTAATGTGAAAAAAAAATGTGAGTAAGAATGAAATTAGAGTTGGAATCAAATTTCGATTGAAATAAAGCTCGTTCAATACAAACAAACGATTTCTCTCGGTGCACTGACCCTCTAACCTGATGCTTTACTTACTCTCTCGACGCTGGAGTGGGGGGAGTGCAATCACATACTACGCCGGAACCGTGGGAAAAAGCTTAGTTAGGTAAGAGGGCTAAGCAAACATTCATTCACACTTACCTTTTTCGAATGGAATTATTACGTATTACGACTATATTATGTGAATAAAACAATAAAAGACGTAAATTCTCAAAACTAACTTGAATATAGTGTCCAAGGCCTCGACCCAAGAGTTCCAAGTGGGTGTCTTAAAAACTTTCCAAAACGGAATTTTCAATTCCAAAATTCCCACATTGGTAAAAACAGTGTGAATGGCATTTATCAGCTGTTGAGTTTCAAAATTAGCGCTTTCGTCCATGCAACCGAGCCTGAGGTCCAGTGCGACTTGCGCAATAGCTAAAGACAATACGTGAATTACAGGCAATACGTTATAATTACAGATAGTACGTGTTGTCAGTAAAGGCAATACGTTTATTACAAGTATAATGCAAGAAGAAAAAACAAGGAGAATAGTGACTCACACTCAAGAGCCCATTTGTTGATTTCATTGACAAAGTCTTCGGGAACCTCGTTTCTTTTATCCTTAATCTTCATGATCCTGATGTAGATAAATGAAAATGTGATTACTGAGTTTATTGCTTTTTTCAATTCAATTTAGAGGAAGAATGAGCTGTAATGACCTTTTGATGAACGCAATGCTTGCTTCTTCAATGGCACCAACGTACATGTTTGCTATTCGAGGTTGGAGCATCACTTGCTGTACTTTACTCCGAAATTTGTACCAACTTTCACCGTGGCTGAATAAAAACAATTAACATATTGCGATTAGTAACTTCTTTCTTATTTGTTCAATATGTATATCTTTGAGATTCTCCAAAATGAGTTTTGAGTAATACCTCGCTAAACCCTAGCGGAACCAGTGGATAGGTCGACTCTCTATTTGTTCCTGGAGTGGAGAGAAAGTTGAGAGTTCGTGGAGAGTTGGACTGACAGGGCCAATCCTCTACTCATGAGTACTTTTAGAGAGTAGATAGCTGAGTGGAGGACCATTCTGGGCTTTCGTGGATTTAGACCCTTGAGTAATCTGACCCTCTAATCTTTAGAACCTTCGACCTCATGCCTCTTTGAACGCCCAGACCCGAAATTTTTTATGAACGCTGAATGTTATGGCCCTAAAACCTTCCAACCCCTACAGATTATGNCCTCTACTCATGAGTACTTTTAGAGAGTAGATAGCTGAGTGGAGGACCATTCTGGGCTTTCGTGGATTTAGACCCTTGAGTAATCTGACCCTCTAATCTTTAGAACCTTCGACCTCATGCCTCTTTGAACGCCCAGACCCGAAATTTTTTATGAACGCTGAATGTTATGGCCCTAAAACCTTCCAACCCCTACAGATTATGAATCATATATTATGACCCTTATATTTTCAGACCCTTATTGATTCTGACCCTTAGATTTAGACCCTAAAAATTTCTGACCCTTCAAAAAGTCTGACTGTCAAATATTTGAACCATATTATTTTTGACCCTTAAAATGAGGCCAACTCTCTACTATCTACTTTTGTAGAGAGTAGAGAGTTGGGATCGGATGCTTGGTGGGGGCTACTCTCCACTCTCTACAATTTGTGGAGAGTGGATAGTTGGGATTGCGGACTCAATATGTTGTGACCCTTAATGCTTCTGACCCTAAGATTTCAGATTTTAACCATAAAAATTTCTGACCCTTCAAAAAGTCTGACTGTCAAATATTTGAACCATATTATTTTTGACCCTTAAAATGAGGCCAACTCTCTACTATCTACTTTTGTAGAGAGTAGAGAGTTGGGATCGGATGCTTGGTGGGGGCTACTCTCCACTCTCTACAATTTGTGGAGAGTGGATAGTTGGGATTGCGGACTCAATATGTTGTGGCCCTTAATGCTTCTGACCCTTCAAAAAGTCTGACTGTCAAATATTTGAACCATATTATTTTTGACCCTCAAAATGAGGCCAACTCTCTACTATCTTCTTTTGTAGAGAGTAGAGAGTTGGGATCGGATGCTTGGTGGGGGCTACTCTCCACTCTCTACAATTTGTGGAGAGTGGATAGTTGGGATTGCGGACTCAATATGTTGTGGCCCTTAATGCTTCTGACCCTAAGATTTCGGATTTTGACCCTAAAAATTTCTGACCCTTAAAAAAGTCTGACTGTCAAATATTTGAATCATATTATTTGTGACCCTTAAAGTGAGGCCAACTCTATACTGTCTACTTTTGTAGAGAGTAGAAAGTTGGGATCGGATGCTTAGGGGAATATTTGACAGTCAGACTTTTTGAAAGGTCAGAAATTTTTAGGGTCAAAATCCGAAATTTTAGGGTCAGAAGCATTAAGGGTCACAACATATTGAGTCCGCAATCCCAACTATCCACTCTCCACAAATTGTAGAGAGTGGAGAGTAGCCCCCACCAAGCATCCGATCCCAACTCTCTACTCTCTACAAAAGTAGACAGTAAAGAGTTGGCCTCATTTTAAGGGTAAAAAATAATATGGTTCAAATATTTGACAGACTTTTTGAAGGGTCAGAAATTTTTAGGGTCAAAATCCGAACTCTTAGGGTCAGAAGCATCAAGGGTCACAACATATTGAGTCCGCAATCCCTACTATCCACTCTCCACAATTGTAGAGAGTGTAGAGTAGCCCCCACCAAGCATCCGATCCCAACTCTCTACTCTCTACAAAAGTAGATAGTAGAGAGTTGGCCTCATTTTAAGGGTCAAAAATAATATGGTTCAAATATTTGACAGTCAGACTTCTTTAAGGGTTCGAAATTTTTAGGGTAAAAATCCGAAATCTTAGGGTCAGACGCATTAAGGGTCACAACATATTGAGTCCGCAATCCCAACTATCCACTCTCCACAAATTGTAGAGAGTGGAGAGTAGCCCCCACCAAGCATCCGATCCCAACTCTCTACTCTCTACAAAAGTAGATAGTAGAGAGTTGGCCTCATTTTAAGGGTCAAAAATAATATGGTTCAAATATTTGACAGTCAGACTTTTTTAAGGGTCAGAAATTTTTAGGGTCACAATCTAAGGGTCAATATCAATAAAGGTCTGAAAATATAAGGGTCACATATGAATCATAATCTGTAGGGTGTGGAAGGTTTTAGGGTCATAACATTCAGCATTCACAAAAAATTTCGGGTCTGGGCGTTCAAAGAGGCATGAGGTCTAAGGTTCTAAAGATTAGAGTGTCAGATTACTCAAGGGTCTAAATCCACGAAGCTCAGAATAGTCCTCCCCTCAGCTATCTACTCTCTAAAAGTACTCATGAGTAGAGAATTGGCCCTTTCAGTCCAACTCTCCACGAACTTTCAACTTTCTCTCCACTCCAGGAACAAATAGAGAGTCAACTCACTCTCTACTAGCAGTCTACAGGTTCCGTCAGGGTAACGGCCTCAAAAGTTCACTTTCCGGGGCGTAAGGTGTTTGTGTTCAGCATGCTATGCGTAAAGTGCATAGGTTGTGCGTAAAGTGAAACTTTGTGCACTCTGTGTAACAAGGCAGAGACTTTACCCCCCCCCCTGCACTTCCAAAACGGAACTCGGCAGATGTTACAAAAAATAGAATGTGTTACACTTTCGTGCGAAAAGATGAAAATGTACGTACTAGTAACACAATCTATTATTAACCCCTCGCGTATGACGCCTTTCTGTTACGAAGCCTGACGTGCGCTTAATATCACTGATTCGATGAATTCTGATGCACGAAAAATTATAAAACACATCAAAAATTGATGCTACACTATCCAGTTCTCGAATGGCGTTGGCGAAATTGGGTTATTTGTCACAGTTTTGAAATTATCTAGTTTTGAACGTAACCATGCGTTTTTGCTTACGTTTTGCTTATATACGTATATTAGAGCTGCAAACAGCCCCCATTTGCGTTCACTAAGTGATTGTTGACGTACTAGTGGCTAATTTTTTTTTATTCGATAGATATTGATACGTAGAACAAATTTTTCTAATGGTTTTTTGCATTTCGACTGGGGCACATATAAGAAGAACACTAAAAAAACCTTTGAAGAGGCCTTTTTCCCGATTTGTGAGGAAATGGTCAACTTTTTTCAATTTTTTATGAAATTCTTTTTTAAAGATCTCAATGAGTTTTACATTTTTTGTCTTTGGTGTTTTTTCGATTAATCACATCCTGAGCTCGTAATTTCAATTAGTTTATTAATGTTATAAAAAAATGAAAATACTAGTGGCTGTTTTTCTTACTTTCTTACTTTTCTTACTTTTTCTTTCTTTCATTATTTAAATAAAATTTTCTAAATAGTTTTCATGTTTTTGGATGACGTATTCATAAAAAAATAATAATATAGTGCGAAATCCTTCTGTGATAACTGTGGGGCGTTAGTCGCACTTCAGGTCGCATAGTGGGGGTAAGGTAAACCTACGTTAATGTTAGAGAGTGGTGGAAGAGGCGAGTCACTTCATTGGGTCAAGGAAATTGTTCTGTTATTTTATTAGGTCTACAAATAAGTTTTGGGACACTTTGCAAAAAATTTAAAATCCATTTTCGAAAAAAAGTAAACTACATTTATTCATCAAAATAATCTCCATAATTTTGAATGATCTTCAGCCATCTGTTAGGTCATTCACGGATGCCCTCCGCAAAGAAAGTCAACTTGCGAGGCGAGGAAATTATCGATCCATTTTTGCACTTCTTCAAATGTTTTCAATCGCACATCAGTCAATTCGTTTGGCATCTTCCGAAACAAGTGAAAATCAGTTGCAGCTAAATCGGGTGAATACGCCGGGTATGGCACAACTTCAGCCATTAACGTATCTTTGACCGGTTTACCCACATGAGGCCTGGCGTTGTCATGGAGCAATTTTACTGGACGTTTTCCTTTGCCAGTAAATGGACGTTTTTGTTCAATTTCTTGGTTCAATCTTATTAATTGTTGACGATAGCGATCGGCAGTAACTATCTCGCCAGACTTCAAAAGTTCATAATGCAGTTCGCCTCTCATATCCCACCATACACAGCATGATCTTCTTATAGTGAATAATCGCCGGAAGTAACCCAATGATATTTGCGTTTTGGATTATCAAAATGCATTCACTTTTCATTGCCGGTCACAATTTTCCACAAAAAAGACTTTCTATGTTGCTTATTGTTATGTCAAGTCGGCTATTTTTATTTTCTTAAGTCAAAAAGTGTGGTACCCACTTTGTTCCTTTTCGAATCTCTCCCATTGCGTTTAAGCGATAGGAAACGGTCTGTTGAGTTACTCCAAGCTGTTTTGCCAGTTGTTGTTCCATCTGGCAAGAGTTTTCATCCAGCAACGCTTGCAGTTCCTGGTCATCCACCCTTACAGGGGCCCCGGTACGTTCACGGTCACTAACGTCGAAATCACCTTCTTTAATAATCGCTTATACCAATACTCACATGTACTTTCAGATACAATGTTGTCCCCAAGAACAGAACAAATCGATTGACATACTTTCCTAATAGTTTTTCCTTGATGGAATTCATAGCGAATGCCGTGTCTAATAATTAGCTTATCGGTCTGCATGTTTTATTCACAGAATTTAAGGTTATGTTTATGACTTCCTGATGTTTTGATACTACATAACAAACCCCACCATATCATATGTAAGCGGTAACTTTGAATTACTTTTATGACATGGGATCGAAGTGTCCTAAAACTGATTTGTACACTTAATATGTATCAAGGTCCGTACATTTTAATAATGATTTTTCTTTAGTTTTTAAAAGGCTTTTCAACAATCATTTTCGATATATTGCGAATTTTACTTTCCTTATGGACAAAATATATAGCCGAGGAAAATATGTGAGATAAATATCAAATATATTTGCAGAAATAAAGGCATTAGGCAAACTCACATTAATCTAAAAGAGTGGCGAGCATATTCATTGAACATATAGGATTAATTCTATTTATTCCTCACTCAACTCAATTAAATAGGAATGTTTTTTGAAACAGTTCAAGCAATTTCATAAGTATTATTTGAGACTGAAGGGTCAAAAAATTATTATAATTAATAAAACATGCAAAAACCTTGATAAACTGCCCACTTACTTTTTTTTCAATAACGTTTTTCATCAATCATGTTGATTTTCAAATTCCGTGAATTATATCAATTGCAAATGTCGCTAAAATAATAATCGTCATATATGAGAAGAATTATTTTTGTCACTTAGGACAATGTTTTTCCCAAATCCGTGAAAATACTTTTTCCCAATTCATGATTTGGAAGTAAGAGTACCCGTGGCCAATTGAGCATCTACAGGCAAGCAATTAATGTGAGTTTGCCTAATGTCTTCGTTTCCGAAAATATATTTGACATTTATCTCACATCTTTTCCCCGGCTATATATTTTGTCTATAAGGAAACTAAAATTCTCAATATATCGAAAATGATCGATGAAAAACCTTTTAAAAACCAAAGAAAAGTCATTAAAATGCACAAACCTTGATACATAACATAACAAAGCTCAATTTCCTTTACCCAATGAAGTGAATCGCCTCTTCCACCACTCTCTAATATTAACGTAGGTTTACCTTACTCCCACTCTGCGACCTGAAGCGCTACTGACACGCCATAGTTATCACAGAAGGATTTCGCACTATATTATTTAATTTCATTTAAATAATGAAAGCTATCGATCAGTAAGAAAAACAGCCACTAGTACTTTCATTTTTTATAGCATTAATAAACTAATTGAAATTACGAGCTCAGGATGGGATTAATCGAAAAAACGCCAAAGACAAAAAATGTAAAACTCATTGAGATCTTTAAAAAAGAATTTCATAAAAAATTGAAAAAAGTAGACCATTTCCTCACAAATCGGGAAAAAGACCCTTTCAAAGGCTTTTTAAATGTTTTTCTTATATGCGCCCCACTCGAAATGCAAAAAACCATAAGAAACATTTGATCTACGTCTCAATATCTATCAAATAAAAAAAAATTAGCCACTCGTACGTGAACAATGGGTTTCTCCTTTTCTAAAGCTTAAGGGGTAACGGAACCGACCACAAAAAGACGTTTACCAAAAACAAGTTTTCTTGGATTCTATGCAATCAGAATCAATGAAACTTTTTTCCCGTATTGAAAGTAGCGGAACGCATCGCTCTCTTCTCATGCTTTTCTTATTTATGCAAAAAAAAATTGCAAATTATTTAACGGCAAGGACCAGGGCAAGGCCGACGCCATTTTATTTGTAGGAATCTGCCAAGTCATAGTAGAAAAATCGATTTTTTGTAGATTTTTCATAGCCGATGACAATTTTCATGAGAAGAGAGCGATGGAGTGAGCTCCAAGACAGAGATTTTGAGTACAAAAACTTACTTTTGTTGCGTAATTTTCGTAAAAACTTGTTTATGATGATTGGGTGGTATCCAGGAGGTAACATATGTCCTTTACAGGGCACCAATTGTAAGAGGGAAGTACTTTTACGAGTCAGAAGATGATGTAGAATGTTTCCATACCATTATTATTTATTTATATCCATTTATTTATATTTTATGGGCTTTTGTACTTTTCACGTACAAAAGCAAAAAAACCACGGGAACCTGCAATACCGATAGGGGGGACCCCTAACCTCTACGTGCGATGGGTTCCGTTACCCCTTAAGAATCATTAAGTTCCTTTATTTTACCCATGCACGATTTGCGAGCTAGGCCTTCAGATAATAATAGGAACGTAAGGATTCCATTACGCGATTCCCGATTAGTTTCCATTATTATTCTCATCCTGGGGACTCATATGCACAACTGGAAACAATAGGTCTACCTACAAAGTTCCGTTTCATTCCCATAATGTTTTTCATATTCACCAAAATTGGTGCCTATCGGAAATAAACGGAATCTCAGCCAAGCCCCCTTAAGTTCCTTTATATTTCCAACTTCCGATCTACCAACCATCTTTCCAGAAAGTAATCGGACGATACCGGTCTCATACTCTTTTCCCCATCAGTTCTTATTATTTTCCCAACACCAATATCTTTTCACATACCAATCGGAATGCACAGGCAAATGACAAAAGCATTATATCCCATTCTTTTTTTATCGTCAAATCGGAAATAATCGGACTTTCTTACCAGGGAACAATCTATACGTCATAAGATTGATCCTCATTTGGGATTGGATAAACTTACGAAGCAATGACTCCCGAGTAATATTCCGTGAAGAAGTCTTTCCTCAAGACGTGCTTGTAATAATTGAGAGAGGACATCGAGGGACGATAGGGCATTTTTTCCTCCTGCTTGAAAATTCGTTCTATCTCATTGGCATCGTACAGGAACACCATGTCTGGACGGCCCATTAAGCCCCCAACCTTAACAATGTCTCCGTAATCATTGAAGAGACGTGTCGACACTTTGGCGATTTCCTGAATGTTGAAGTCACCTTGCAAACCATTGAGAACGTTTTTTAATGAGAATATAATCGTTTTCATATTTAGAATTCAACAGACATGCATAATAAACGAATAAAAGCAAACGATCCCATAAATTCAGTAGCCAAGTAGTCAAACGGTTTAAGTCGACTTAGCTTTTAGCTGAGTTTTCGAGGAATATCTCAAAATCTAAGGGACATAGCGAAATTTTCGTATATATCTTGTTTGAAACGCAAATAAAATTCCAGAACATTCTGGTCGACTATAGGCCTACTTCGAAAATCTCCGGGACCCTTCGGGTCATCAGTCATAAGTCACCGAAACACGCGCGAATCAGTTTAGGCTTAGCCTCTCACCGTACAAGTCTATCTCGGGCAAATCACCTGTACAAGTTTTATATCGCATCTCACCGAGTACAGTAGCTCTTTGAACCTCACTTAGCTCACCAGTAATCAAGTACATCACCGGTCTTTGTAAGATCACCGTTTTGTTCAGTATATCACCTTTGTTGAATAAATTCAGTTTACATTCAGTGACTCAACGAATTAACAGTGAAAGACAATTATCAGTGTAATTAGACATTCAACAATTAAATTACCAAAGAGTGTAAAATAGTTTTAACAACGTGGTTCGATCCCACAAAATAAAGTGTGATATTTTAATTCCGGCTCATCAGTAATTTTCCCATCTCCCTCCACATTTTCATCCCACATCCACCCTAAATCTAGTCATTCACCAAACATATCTTTTTTGAAGCTCTTAATGTGCTCTACCAAAATGGTTATAACAGAAATTTTGCTATCTGCTTTAGATTGCGAGATATGCATTGAAAACTCATGAGTAGTCAAAATCGACTTAAACCGTTTGACTATTACGCTATTGAATTGTCCACATCAGTCATGCGAATATCTCGCTAGAAAAATCTATTGGATTTCTACCTACAATTTTATTTTTTTCGTCTATCCTTTTGAGAATTCCACAGCCTTTCTGCGAGCTTTTTTAACAGAAATGATCAATAGAAAATATTTTATGGAAAGAAATTATCGAGTTTGATTCTTTTATACTTCTCATTCAATTGAGATTATTTCTACAGAAATTCTTTGGTCTGAACTTTGTCAGCTTTTGCTGCAATTTCTTTAATGAGAGAAGAAAATTAACTTCAAGTCTTATCTCTATTATTTGATAAGGTATCATGCGTTCAGGGGAGACTATCATGAGTTTTAAAAGTCGTGGGTTATTGGAGTGAGACTTTTCATGCATTGAAGATCGATTATATCGATTTGAAAACGAATAATTAGTGCAAAAAAATTTTTTTCTATTGTTCGTTTGCCCGAAAACGCTTAAAATGATAAAAACAGTCCACGGCCTCCAATTTTTGAGCTGCAAAAGATTTTTTTTTCAAAATTTTCGGAAAAATGTGTGGAACAACAATTACGAGCCAGTTTTTTGAAATTCGACTCCTACACAGCTGATCTCGGTTTTTTTTTCATATACAAAAATTTCCTATTTGTGTAAAAAAATACAAAAACAGCAAATTTAGCTATGTAAGATGCGAATTAAAAAAAAATAGCTCGTAATTGTTATTCCACATAATTTTCCAAAAATTTTGAAAAAAAAAATCCTCCGTAACTCAAAAATTGGAGGCCCTGGACTGTTTTTGGCATTTTAAGCGTTTTCAGGAAAACGAACAATGAAATAGTACATTGTGCACCGAGGGAGGACTTAATATTAGGTTAGAGGAAACGTCATGATGAAATTGAGCATGAGATCCATTCAGTATCAATAAACACACAAATGAACAAATCAAAATGAGAGAGAAATGAGATGAATAACAAGTAAATGAATTATAAATAAATTAGCAAATTCAAAGTATAATAATAACCTCTTTGGCATTAATTCATCAAAAATATTGCATTCAAAAAGACAGTTTTATTCATTTTTCAAATAAGCACAACGCAAACATTGGAAAACAAAATTTGGGGAGTAATACGAAAATTCAGTCATCACTGATTTGCTGGAATGGGCATTGCTGGAAGGTCGTCAGCAAGTATGCGAAAACGACGTCTCATGAATTCCTGGGGATTTGGTAACCCCAAAAACAACGCGATCTCTCTCTGACGTGTACATTTTCCTCCGTGGAATCTTAGGAAAAATCTGTTAGTACCCGGGTCCTTAGGTCGTAGACTGATGTATTTCTTGACTGTTTCGTAGTACTGATTTTCAATGACGAATGATCGAGGGTAGTAATTTCTTGTGTCACGAACAGTTACGATAAGTCTCGAGCCAGTGTCCTCGACGTCATTCGTGGTCAAGGGACAGAATTCACCGGATCTCATGGCACCAGAAATCCCAAATATCAAGGCCACCTTTGAAATAAATTTTATATTATATTATTCATTTTTCATTGCCAAATTTTCTTTAGAGTTCAATGTGAAGGAGAAAAAAATGAGGAAACTGAGAAAAAATTAGAGAAAAATCGTTGGATTTCGCATTATTCATCTCTATTTAGTAATCTTCAATTTATTTTACACTCACTTTCATTGCTAAATAGATATGATCCGGAGCTTGATCCAAGAATTGAGTTACTTGAGGGGCAGTGAACACTTAGGATTTCTTACTCTTGAATCCTTTGCCTTTTTTTCATGAATGCTTTCAATCGCTTAAATGAATTGAGGTCGATGCCGTGGTGAAGGTCCATCGTACTCTTCAACATCGACCAACGACTCCAGAGCGTCGATGGCTTGTAAATTTGAGTTAATTCATTGAAATAGACAAGGAAAACTCCCTCTTGAAGAGATCCAATTTTCTTCGTTTTTCTCCAATTCTGGAAATCTTCACAGCACGTTCGGTATTTCTCCGCGGATTTGTCAGGAATTAAACCCTCCACGATTGCTGCTGCAGCATTCTTAACATCAAATTCTTCGACATCGTATTCATCATGACTATCTGAATCTTCTGAAGAACTCATTTTCTCGTTGTCACGAATTTCAACCAATGGGAATTGAGAATGATCGTAATATTCTATTACTCAATATCGCACATTTAAAAACACTGAGAATATCAGATCCAATTTCGTTTTTTGTATTTCTATGGGATTTCTAGTTCGATGATACAGGTTAACGAGTGACACGAAAAACAATTGACAGGTGTAATTTATGATTTCTAGGGAATAAAGCGCAACTTTCTTCCCGGAGACGCGGGAATAAAGTCGAACTTTCCACACATAAGGGACGAAATAGTATATTTCTAACCTAGGGGGGGAGAATAAAGGATCCTCAGCCGCCAGTGCAATTACCAGCCGAGCCGAAGGCGAGGTTGGTAAGCACGCGGCTGAGGGTCCTTTATTTTACTTCCCGTGGTTAGAACGCGATTTTCCGTCTCGGCGTAGGCGCAAAGTTAGATTTTCCTCCCGCTTCGCCCGCCGGGACGGAAAAAATTTTTTTGCACTAATTATTCGTTTTCAGATCTATATAATCGATCTGCTACGTATGAAAAGTCTCACTCTAATAACCCACGACTTTGAAAACTCACAGTCTCCCCTTCAAGCAGAGTCAGCGAGAACATGGAAAAGCGTGAATAAAACTACATTGGTCAGGGTGGAATAGTCTTTTTTCGATTTAATTGAATAGGTATCATCATGACAAGTGCAGTTAAAAATTTTCGGCTGAATTTTCCGCGCCAAATCCCGGAGATTTTTATCGTATTCAAGATCCACTGAAATTTCAGAAAAGTTTGTCATTGAAAAATTTTTTCTAGGTTTTTTCTAGGTTTTAGAAAATTCGATAGCAAATTCCATTGAAAATGCTATTAGTTTTTTACCGATTCTATTGAAGATTTATGCTTTTTTACAAAAAAACGTACAATAAAAACTTTAATTGAAAAAATCAGTAGAATATCATCTTTCATTACAAATTTTTCTATTGAAGCATTTTTCATAGGAATTCCTCGCCATGAATTTTATAATTTACTCCACTTTATTTCCTTTTATTTCCATTAAAAAAATCAAACAAGAACATGTAAAAAATTTGAGCTGAGGAATTTCTATAGGAAATATCTCAATGGAATAAGTTGCATCGACAAATCGAATTCTTTTTATTTCTGTATGACATTTTCCATTAAAAAATAAAACACGAAAATAAACTATCGAATTTTTCAATAGAATCGGTCAAAAACTGACAGAAAACTCAATACAAATCCAACAGAATTTTATAGCATACGTGTATTTTTTACTAGAAACATTTTTAAGTAAATGCCTGTAAAAATTCCTCATTCCGCAGCTCTTTGTAAAATAATTTGAAACTCCGTTTTAATATGAAAATCGAAACTTACCTATATATGGAATAAATCTCCAGGTATTCCCAAGAAAAGGAATCGGTTTCGGACCCGGGATTTCTGAATACGGACGAGCATGAGACAACACTTGGTCGTCAACCTCCCGCACGAAAGTGCAGAAATTTCTTTTGAAAACATTGTTCATCAGAACAGTTTTCACCGATGGATTTATCACGATCATCATATTTTTCGCTCAATAATAGAATAGAAACGTGAATTTTTACGAAATTACAGAGAGAATTGATGACAATAAACCAATCACTGTTTCACTGCACATCACTCTTATTTTTCTCTGCTTTTCACCAGGGCTGTACAAACAGAAATGAGATCAGACTATTTCACAGTCTATCGGCCCGATAGTGAAAACCCGAGTAGACTAACTCCCCTAACAATTCGCTAACACGAAGGCAATTGTTCGCCAACTGCAATTTCGCACGAGACTTTCCTGAGATGTCGTGCGCACTGTCACTCGTCCACCTCCTGCACAACAAATTTCATTTCGAAATAGATGACGAAGAAAATCCACCCCTGGTAATTTTACCCATGATTTACCCACCACCGGACGTGGCACAATCCCAACGACATATTCTTTCAGGATGGTGAGCACTGTGAAGACAATTCACTGATTACTATTTCCTTTCTCAAAAGAAAAATTGCAAGGAATTACTGTTGCGAAATTTTACATGAAATAAAATAATTTTGTGGAAATAATTTGAGTATTCATTTGGAAATTCTATTGGAGTTATGGTGATTCTTCTCCGATTTCATTGAAAAATTATAGTATTTCGACATGTTTTTAATTGGTACGAATGGTGGATAGAAAATATCTACGCGGAGAGAAAAATTGGATAACAATTACCTAGAAAATCGTTGCAAATTTTACTGTATACTAAGAAGACGAGAGTTTTTTAAGAAATAGGGGAGGGTGGGGTAAAACGGACACTTTAGACTTTTTTAAAATTATTCATAACTCAGATACAAATTGATCAATTGAACTCAGTTTAGGCTCGCAGTTTAGGCACAAAGGGGAAGAATTGTCCTTTGTATTGAAAAAAAAATTATTAAATTTTATCAACATTTCAACCCCTCATTAACATTTAAAAAAAAGTGAAGTGTCCGTTTTACCCCAACCTCCCCTATGTCTTTACTTGTGTCAAGAAATTCATGGCTCTAAAATTACCAAGCGTACAATATCTCACACTGATAGAATGATTCATTTATTCCAAACGAGATTCGTTAACTATTAACGAATGGCAGAGTTGAATATGACCAAATGAATATTCGTTAATAGTTAACGAATGGTTCACTTGAAAGGTGAAAGTCGAGTCAAGCAAAGCTACTCAAATATGTATTTGTTAACTATTAACGAATGAACATTTGGTCAGACCGAATAGACCTTAGCCTCCAATCAAATCCATTCGTTAACAATACCTAATACTTTCTATCAGTGCACACTAGGAAAAAAAATCTTACGCTAAGAAATTTTATACTTGTTCGAAAGATGAGGGCAATCGGTTTATATCATGAAAACGAGTTCTCAAATGAGTTCAAGTGATTTTTGCATACAAATATTTTAGAATTGAGGCTAAAAAACTATGAAATGAATTACTTCAATTTTACTTGGTTTGAGAAATCACTATTTGTCATCAAGAAATTGTCCCCGCCTTTACGATAAGTACAAAATTTTTTGGCGAAAGTTTTTTTCTTCTTAGTGCAAGATATTTTGCTCTTAAAAATTTTCAAGCCACGAGTTTCTTGGTATAAGTAAAGACGTATTTCTCAAAAAGGGTTTTCGCGATGTTAAATGAGCGTCGGATACCGCTGCCACACAAAAAAATGGCGGACGTAAAATGTACCAAATTTTCCCGGTCGAATGAAACATGGCGGCAATTAATGAGATTATCAAATAATAGAAATACGAATGTGCAATATTTAAATGTCGGAGATAATTACTTACTGTTTCAGATAAATTAATGTTCCCACAATGTGTTTGCATTTTGAAGAGCCAGCCTTGCAAGTGCATACACATTCGATCGACTTGTTGTTATTTGTTATACTAATTTGTACATTTATTTCATGAGGAGTCTCATGAATTGCTGAAGACTTGACACACCAGGCAGAGATTTTTACTCTGTTCTCAGTCTTCTTAGTGACCCCAATGTGAAATATAAAATCAGACGTGACAATTCTATCACCTTCGACACACGCTCGTTTATTTTCCGCTCTGGACACATCCCCAACATAGTTCAATATATCCTCCAAATTTAATTCCAATAGATCGCTCATATTAATAATTATTAATAATTATACGGTTTGAAGGCCCTCACGTCACGTATACTTATAACCTAGAATAATTTATAAATCGTTTACTAAAATATTTGAATCGGTACGTTTTAGGTCCGCCATTTTTGTGTTCATCAGCGCCATCTGACGCTCATTTAACATCGCGATTTTTTAGCGTACGAAAGGCAATTGTGGAGCGAAATGTAATCCAATGAAAAAATACCTGTTTCTGAAGGATATTTTATGATTTGTTCCGTAAAAAAAACACATCAATGAACATCAGAATAAAATCTTGAATTGAGTATAAAATATATTTGAATCAACCCTTAAAACTTGATTCAAGTATATTTTATAGGTACTCGAATATACTTGATTTAAGTATATTTTATACTCGAATGGGAGATGGGTGTTTCAATTCGAGGATGATTATTTCGTGTCAACCCGGGTTGTACCGATCGCTCTCAAGTATAATATAAGGGTCAGACACTAAGTGTGAGAATATAAGGGTTAAAAAGTGGAGGTGAAAAAATAAGGGTCGGAATATTAGAGTCCAAAACAGAGGGCCTGAATGTAAAGGTGAAAGCATGAGGGTTAAAATGTTAGAGTTAAAAAAAGAGGGTCAGAATATTAGGATAAAAAAATTAGGGTCAGAATATAAAAGTAAAAAAGTGGGTGTTAGGCAATGAGGGTCATATAAGGGCTAAAAACGGTGATCGAGCATAATATATGACTTATATTTAGACCCTCATTGGCTGACACCCACTTTTTTTACTTTTATATTCTGACGTAATGTTTTGAGCCTCATTTTTTAACCTCCACTTTTTGACCCTTCTGCCGCTTAGTGCCGGACACTTAAATTACACTTAAGATGGTTTGCTACAACCCGGCCTTATACAAAACAATCATCTTCGAATTGAAATACGCATACCCCCATTGAGTATAAAATATACTTGAATTTTGTAATTTCACCTTTGCCCCTCCCAAAGTAAAAAAAAAATTGAAAATTCGAGGCGAAGAATTTTTGTAAAAGAATCTGAACAGAATAAGTTGTATCGAAAGAGCATAATCTACTGATTTCTTCTATGAAATATTTCCTATTGGACTTGTGAAAACAAGCAGAAGAGCTGCGTAATTTTTTAGCAGTACAGGTAAAAAAAAATTATTTTGTTGAATTTCAATTAGACTTTTATTAAAAACTCTTAGTTTTTCACCGATTCTGATGGAAAATTCTACAGTATAGAATTTGATTTTTTTAGTCAACTAATTTTATTAAGATATGTTCTATAGAAATTAATCTGCTTAAATTCTCAAAGCTTTTGCGTGTGATTTTTTTGATCAAAGGAGAGAAAAAATAGTGGAAATTTTTTAAAAAATGTACGTCAAGAATTTTCACAGAAAATAACTCAATTGAATAAGTCATACAGGAAAATTCCTTTCTATGGATTTTTTCCATAAAATCGTTTCTATTGAAAAAAAATGCGCGAAAAATCTGCGGGATTTTTCAATAGAGCCCGCGAAAAACTAATAGAATTCCAATAGAATTATCTAGTTAATTCTCTACGTTCTTTCACCCGTGTAGTATCATAAATGCTCCAAAATTGTCGGCTAGAAATCGGATAGAAATCAAATAGAATTTCCTCCAAAATTCCCTAGGATTTTCGATTAATTTTTACACACGTGTATGTTTTGTAGTTTTCACCTTGATTTGAAACAGTTTCTATCGATTTTTTTCATAAAATCGTTTCTTTAAAAAAAAAACGCGCGAAAAATCTGCGAAATTTTTCAATAGAGCCCGCGAAAAACTAATAGAATTTCCAATAGAATTCCAATACAATTGTTTAGTGAATTTGCTAGGTTTTTTCACCCGTGTAATATCACAAATGCTCCAAAGTTGTCGGCTACTTTCCGGAGTAAAATTCCAACAGAAATCAAATCGAATTTCCTCCAGAATGCTCTAGGATTTTCGATTAATTTTTCCACACGTATATGTTCGTAGGTCTCACTTCGATTTGAAACAGTTTCTACTAGCTTCAGAAATAGTACATTATGTCATGAGGGCGATAAGCGGCGGTTTGTGAGGAGTGTGGAGTTGCAGCAAGAGGCGTGGCAAGCAGGAGACGAGGATCGCCGAAGGCGATCCGAGTCGGACGCTTGCCATGCCGAGTGTTGCAAACTCCACACGACTCACAAACCAACGCTATCGCCCGAATGGCATATACTATTTTTCGTCACGAAGGCCCGACGCGGGTGTGGGCGCGGGAGGGGGTCCAGGGGGACGAAGTCCCCCTGGTGGGGGGGGTTGGGGGGGGGCGAAGCCCCCCCCCACTGAAGAAAAAAATAAAAGCAATAGAAAAAAATAAATCGAAATAAAATCAATATCAGTTGATGCGAAAATAAATAACTAGTAAAGTCCGCCAAAATATCCAAAAACAGTAGGTTGATGACGGTAATTTTGGACCTGTGAAAAGAAAATTGCATAAAAAATAGAAAATAAGAACAGATATCAAAGATAAAAGAAGATACTCAGCTGTTCAATTTTTCTTCTTTTATTAAGAACAGAAGTCGACGTTATAAATACTGATATTTTAGAAATTGTTGTTTTTTGAACAAAAATATCAACTTTAAATTGAACAAAAACTCGGAGAGTGACTTTTTTCTAATGATAAATCTTCTCAATGACACACAACAACATGGCTACCACTAGTGGGTTAAGTTGTAGAGAAGGCCGCTAGAGGCGCTGTACAGCTCATCCGACTATACGTTTACCCGAACGCAGAGCGCATGCCCAAGTGGGGGGAACGTCAGGGCACATGGTGACGCCCACTTTATCGCTCCTAGGATGGGTAAGTGAGATTTACCCTCCTTGGAGCACCGAGCGTCTCATTTACCCTCCTTGGAGCACCGATTATTCAAGTGCCGCGGTAAACTCTCTTTACCCCCTCTCGACAGAGCCCG